GAAATTTTACTAAACTCAGAAATTATTATAAAAAACTATGTCAAAATAATGTCAAAAGTGACAAAAAATATGCATCAGCGTATTTTATAGAATTATAAGATACGTTGCCATTAACGACGTACTTTATAGATGAAGCGTATTTTAACGAAAACATAAAAAGTAAGTCTACTCCTATAAGGTATTAGTGTTGCAAAAAATAAAATGTTTTACTTAAATTTTTCAAGTTATTTAACTTTTAACAAGCTTCTTAATTCTTTTAACTTTTTGACTGCAGTACACTAAAAAAATGTTATAGCACTAGAGATTTCAAAAAATAAACAAAATCAACTAATGAAAGGTTAGTTTAAAAACATCAAAATTAAAAACTACATCCAAAAATACAAAAAATATTGAAATTTTTTATTAAAAAAAGCATATTATGTTTGTATTGTAATTGACTTTATCAACACGCTATAGGACACTCTTCAGTGTGCATTAGACCTAATACTGCCCTACTAAACAAAAACCCCATAAACCAATTTGAAAAAAAAAAAAGTTATTACTGTTTTCCTGTAGTCGACATCAAGACCTTATTTACTAAGCAAAAACCTAGTAAAAATCAATCTAGAGATGTAATAATTACATATTCTCATAACCCGCATTGTATAAGAAGCACGCTACTATTAGAAGTTTAAGCCCGTATATCTCATTTCAGCGGTTTTGACATTTGCGGGGGTCTTGTTGTTTTGTATCAGGGCAGTATATAGAGTGATTCAAGTGTTACAAACCGACAAAAAGATGCATTCCAGAGAAACAAGGTTTCTAACTGTGTAGTCATTATATGTAGTTATTTATGTATCAACTGTTATAACAACATAAACAACTGTTTAGTTTTAGTGCCTCTTCTATTGGAATTGAGGATCAAAAAAATCCCTTGTGTTGTCGACAAGTTTCGTGGTTTTTATTTTGTTGACCCTTTATTAAGACTAAAAACATGTAATATTCAAAAACCTAGAAAAATAAGGAAATGATAAATTTGTTAAATAATCACAAAAAATCTCTCAAAATATTCAATGCATTCCATTAAAATTGTAAGAGTAATGGTGCTATTCTGTAAAAAAAAATACGTGTTATAGCGCTATAACTCTTTAAGCTATCGACTATAAGTAAAAATCGAATTCTCTAAGGAAATATTTCTCTATACCTAAAATTCTATAAGCTTAAAGTCTCTAAAAGTTATGTCGAAAAATTTGCTGACCGTAAAGACTCTATAACGATATATTGTCATAGTAACAATGTCACTCCTCAATAATTTATTATAAATACTTCTCTCCGTATTTCGCCAGTGATGCTAATTTTTGTTCTCTTATAATTATTGGTATCGTGTAAAGTTAATAATAAGTACATAGTTCAGTGATGGATCGTAATAATATTGCACTAATTGCATTATATTTATTATTAAATGAAGAAAAAAGAAGGTAATGTTGTGGACAATAATGAGCTTCTTACTACAAAATCTTTAATAAAAAGAGTGTCTATTTAGAAAAAGTTATTTTGTAAAAGGTACAAGCAGGTTTTATGAAAATCGGTAATAAATTTTTGTGTAATTTATTAATATGAGTTCAAAGTTGATGCATTTTCTAAATTCTCCTTCGGCTTTAGTTTCAAAATTGTTACTTCTTCAACTCGTTCTTCAAAAACGTTGCAAACAATCCTACTAATTTAATTACGTTTTTTTCTCTTTGATGTTTATGTTGTATTCTCATTAATTTCTTACTAAAAATTAGAGAATGTTTAGCAAATTTACATTACAAATTGTGTCTAAATTTTAGCGGTAGTCTTTTTTTGACTCTTCGTCTTCAAATTTCCAAAAACTGTTCGCGATACTCAATTGGTTCCCGTTTTTGTGTTTTCATTTCTAAATTTTCTTAGACGATTTTTTTGCTGAATGCCATTTTTTATTAATTAAATTAAAAACTGGAACTGCCAACATCCAAAAATTACCATGATAAATTTGTTAAGACTGTTTGACATTTCCACTTAATAAAAAACAGACTTTAGGGTAATTACAGCGCTATAACTCGAATGTTTACATAGACGCTTAGAGAATACCAATTTTGATACGATTCTATAAGGACTTTAAAAAATTTATATACAGAGCTCTATTAGTTATGGAATATACCAGCTTATAGACTATAGCAGATTTTTAGAGAATAGCCTAATAAAAATCAGTATCAAGAAGAAAATTATGTAAAAAAAACACTCAAAAGATTACATTTTATTTTAAGAGTAAAACGGCACTTCATTTTATTATTTTTGAAGAAATAAAGTATTAGATTATTAGTCAAAAACGAGGAAATAAAGCGTGACTTTGTTCCTTGATCGGAGAAATAGTATTCTATATCACAAGGTAGAGAAGAGATTTGTTATACATATTTTCCGAGATGCGTATCATCAAGGGAAATAATAAATGCGAAGCTGTAAAAATCTTCTCTACTGTGTTTTATATAAAAAATTTTCACTACTAGCACATTTATTACCCTAGCACATTTATTACCCAGAAATACAACGGGGAAAAATATTACCCCTACGTGATGGACTTGTACCCTCAGACGTAACAAGTCGTAATTGGCAACTACTATTCTTGTTAATTCACTATTATCTACAGTTATTACTTACTTACCTGAGTTATTAACTTAAGTTGTAAGTATTATTTCTTTGTTACCGTACATAAGGTTATGTCATTTTTGTACTTCTTCACTACCAAACGAATTTTCTAACTTGATAATATCAAATATGTATTTGAAAAATAACAAAGAAACTGAAAAAAAGTTATTATTCTTTATCATGAAATAACAAAGTTATTTAAAAAAAAGCGTTTTGTAGATTTTGGGTAATCACACAGTCAATTGGGGACGAGGCGAAACCAAGTCAATTTGAATTGAACAGAGAAAATTTATGCTTTTAAACATATTTATTTTCAATTTTTGGGAATCTACTTTGTTCATTGTTTGTTTATTAGATGTTCAGTTCATTTTCTGACATATTACGTCTGTTATTAACACATAATAGGTATAGAAAAAAATCGGTGTCAAAATATCTCGATCATCTCGTGTGGGAGTCAATTTCGTCGTGTTGATTTACAGGTACTTGGGCAACATTTGACCCGATGAAATCCAAGAAGAAAAAAACGAAACCGTGAGTTATGCGTATCCAACACCTAGTCATATTGTAAGTTAACGAACATGTGATACCCATCTCAATCAATCATTTATTGATTCCATTGGCGGCAAATCTTTGGACAATATTCGACCTACAGCGACGTTTTTATGGATCGAAACATATACACAAAACGGTACTTTCGCATCATCGATCATTTTAAACATTTTTTCTGCAAAGTAAATTATGATGTCGAATGACTTGTTAACAATGTCAAGTGTTAATTTATTAATGTTGGGACGATGGTAACGTTTAATAAATCAATTTGTCTTCGTTTATGTTTCCGGAAAAAATCGACATTCGAATTAGTCCCTTGCGGTACTGGAGTTTTTCAAAAAGAAGTTGTTTTAAAGCGCATGGGACTAATTCATTTTAAACGGTGCATTATTCTGCACAGGTCTCTGTTTTCTCATGGGATGACTGAAATTCTAGGTTAGCAGGACGTCCACTTCTCAATGACCATCTATTGGGAATTACTATTGAATTGATCCGACTTCACGTCAAATCTAGCTTAGAATTTTAATTCTCAAATGCAATTGCAGAGACTTATGTGTTTTGCTACAATTGTTGATTTTATGTTAAATGAAAGTAAATTTCTTGTGTAAAATATTTGAAAAAATCATATATTTTGGGCGACAACTTTCATATCGTGTTCCTGAAACAGGTGTTTAATTTTCACGTAGATAATGAACACTGAACAGTGCTGCATCGTCACTGTTGACTTTGTAGTTTTTCATTTATTTTTCTCAAAATTTTACTAACGATTGGTTTTGGCTATGTTTTTATTGTTTCTCAATTAAACGATAAAACAAGATGAGTTTGCATATAATTAAATGAGATGTTCAAGAAAGTAAAAAAAAAAGATTTTTATGAGATGTTGTCTGATGATGGAGACAAAACGAGTAATAAAATATTGAAAAGCATTTCAAAGGTGTTCAATACAGAGACATATCGAGTTCCCAAGCGAATAAGATACGGCTATAAAATTATAGTTCACGTAAAGTGCCAATTAGGTAGTAAAGTGTTAATTGCATTTAAATGTGTGACGAAGATGTTATTTTATAATTAACGAATGGCACCATAGCGACACGATTATCATTTTAAATAGACAGAAAATGACAATATGACATGGGAAAAAGTGATAATTACTATGTACACGCACAGTGATGGGTGCACGCACTTTTTGAGAGTATCTACTTTTATCTTTAAGTAAAATTTTTTTAGTCATATTTTTTAAACCAGAAAAAGTGTGAGTTTTTAATTAACGAAAACGTCTTCTTTTCGCCATTAAGATGGAGGTCTTTTGAGTCATTCTTTTTTTTTGGAAAGCAATGAGTTTGAGTATTTTTTGACAAAAACACCCACAATTTGTTTCTTCCTCTTTTTTCATTCTGTCATCAATTTAACTTTCATGGGAAAATTCATTACAGTTTAAAAACCAGATGTTCCGAATAATTAAAACAATCAGAGCATAGACACTACTTTACATACCGGAATAAATCAAATGCTTTATCGATCAATAGACAAAAGCCTTGCAAAAAATTCTATAACAAAGAATAGTTGAAAAATTCACCAAGGGTGGTCTTCATGAATGAACATGAACTAAGAGAACCACCTATGGTGGTTCACCATACAAACTACCAGCCCAAAACTCCTCCCATAACGATTTCTACCAATCACTGTCGAGGCAACCAACACCAAAATAAACTATCGTGGTATAGGCGGTACCAACTCGACACCTTCCAGCATCAAAGCGTGTGGTCATCTAGTTGGCTCTGGTCAGTTTTCTTTAAGAAGTCCAACTGGTACGACGAAACGCGATCGTCGCATTTTTTATAAACGGTTTAGGACGTGGTTTGGTGGAGGTTTAGTGCGGGTGTTTTTCTTGATTTTTGACAATTTTTTACGTTTTGGGAATAAATGGCAGTTTCTACACTCAATATGGCTCCGTATTTCACTGGATATCCGTTCCAAGGTTCGTGTTTGATTTGAATTGAATTATTTGTCAAAGAGTTGAGTTTACAAAAAACTCTTCAAAACTTAAAAAAAAAAGTAAATGAATGTGGAGAAAAAATAAATTCACCGTTTGGTTTTCTGAACTTCATCATCAGTACCCGTCGGTGGTTATTAAAACAACTCGTACCATGTAAGAACATATAAATTTGCATAAAACTTTATCAATATCATCGCGTATATAATCTTGCAAAAATTTGACTTGATAATTATATGCAAAAGTGTTGTTTTATCAGATTTTCATGTCATAAATAAGGCTTGTTTCATACTTTTCAACAGTTATTGTAGAGAATCAACAAACAGGTGTAGCTAATTAAGGGATCATAATTATTATAATTGAGCACGTTCCAATGAAGTTGATATACCATTATCGCTATATTATAAAGTTGTCTTCTTTATCTAAATACAATTTTGCAATTATAATATTGTGCTCTTGGGAGGAAAACTAAAAAGATTTTGACAAACTTGGTTTTCCTACTTTAGAATTATTTCAACTATTTTAAATTTCCAATTAGTAAATCTTGATAAATGTATTTTGTAATAAGAACGTAAATACTGAACAGCATATAAAAAGAGTACCTAAGTTATAGTCTAGGAGTGAACGAGGCTATAGGTACGTAAGTTGAACTTGTGCTAAACTTCAAGCAGAGCTCTGAAACTATATTAATGAAAAAAATCGAAAATTCGTACAATTTCTTTTGTGTCAATATACGTAATAATAATCTTAACACCTATTTACGTAATAAATAAAGTAAAAAAGATTTAACATCACGAAAACGTGTACATGTTTATGAATAGTTTTCTACCAAAGAATTACTAATGTCAGAATTTAAGTACAATGTATGGATAAGAAAACATTTATTGATTTTTGTTTATAGAATTACATGTTAAAAACGTTCAAAACCAATTCATTGTGTTATTATTTACATGAGGAGATGGTGATGGAATCAATTACAACTGGAACTTTATACGTCGGAGTATTTCCTCTGTTTTCATACATTGTTTTACAATTTCGAGAAAACCAAGTTTTGGATATATTTACAATACTTCTTATAAGTATTAAAATTAAGTTCAGTCCGCACTGCATGAATAAAAATTTCTTTTATGAGACTACGCTCATTTAATTTAAGCTTCTGGTATAAGTGGTTCATTAAAAAGCAAATAAATTTTGGATACTATTAATAGTCAGAAAGGGTGAACTCGTCCACAAACACAAACCAAATTTTTATGTCTTTTTCATAGCCGCTATAAAATTTTCAAGATTTATGCTTATACGGTGATCTAATCTCGTGGTTAGTTCCACTTCTAATATCAATAAAAACTTACGAGCAATATGTAAAGAAAGAGCATTGATTTAAAATATTCCACAAGAAAGAAAAAAAGATGATCTTAACAACTAATTTTGCTGGTGAAACCGTACATCATGATGAGTCCATAAAAGGACCCAAGGACTATGAATATTAAATTCATCCACGGACGGTATCTAGATGCCGCGATAAGGTAATAATACAGATTTAACGTGAATTTTACATGTATTAAAGGCATTAATGGCGTGTAGGACGGTGTAACAGACACCGACAGCGTTAAGATGATACTTATCTTAACACATTTGACATAAGCTATCGGGGATAACATTATATACCACATCTGACATCGGCACTCGGGTTTTTATTTACTTTTTCTGACGGTCTCGGTCCCTGTGTCGGACAACAGGGTCCCATCCTTGTTATTTTTTCAGAACAGGTATGGAACAGCCCCAGGGAATAAATGCACATGAGAAAATTGAGTGCTTACATGCACATCCTTTGCCCGCAACCATAAATTCTTTTTATTTAAATTAAGGAACACAATAAGATAAGAATTATTAAAAAATATCAATCTTTTGCACAGTTTTATTTTCTTCCAAATTTTTTGTTTTTTATTACTTGTATTACGCTCCCGTATTAGGCGTTTTTTTGCCATCTCACAACACATGTAGAGATAAATTACCAAACGGTAACTCTTGATGAATTAGAAATTAAAGACATTCAATGTCGGAACTTGTATTCCCAGAGTCTGGTTGTTCGTTAACAAATGCGATAATGATGCTTCAGTAAATATCATTATGGCATAAATTGCGAATTGTACGTTCTTCTTCGACAAGAGATGAGTTTAGAAAAATAAAATACAAAAAATACAAGGTCAGTTTTATTAGCTTCTGCTTCTGTTATAATCAAATGTAAACTTTTTAGATATCTAAAAATATTTAATGATATTAATGTAAGATTGCAAATCGCAATAATTACGGAGGAGACTGGTTGTTATTATCGTCGCATAAAACCATAATAAACATCAAATGTAACGCCCATGAGATAAAATACGATGAGCTCAATTTGACTGATGGCTTTAAAATTTACTCATTTCGTTAATGTGTGAATCCACCTTTAAATTACAGGTGGTTTGAATGGCTTCCGTTCCGCATGACATGTGGTCAAGGCGTTGGTAACTTTTGTTTTTAGAAAACCTGCCATTCAATAAGTCAGAAGATTTTTGACCACACAATACATCTGTCAATCAAAAATCTGGATTTAATCCTTTTATCGTTAAAATATACGACGTTTGTGACTGCTACTTAATTATTCCGATTAAATGAATAGGTAAATTGTAGAGTATGGAATGTGTCGATCGTGTTTTCTACCGTCCATAATGGGGTTGGACAATGTTTAAAACACAATGAGACGATTGCCACGCCTGTTATTGACGCTATTGTTTTCAATGGAAACACGTGCGTAAATAAAATACAAGCATTTTTGTGGAGTTGGACATGAAAATGTTGCGAAACGACCAAAAGGCTGAGATGAAAGATTGACCTCATACACCAACATGTGCTGCAGCGTTCTTCCATTCAATTGAAAAAATAACTTGGATTTATACAGGGTGCGCCAGAACTCGCGCCCCAGAGAAAAATGCCATATAAGGTAAAATACCAGGAACATGGAAAAAATGTTAAAAAAATTTTATCAATAAAAATGTCGAAGTTATGAGAGTTTAAATTTTGCACCTTGACTCTATTTCTGTTGGAAAAATAATTTTCCAAGTTTTTTTGCTATAGGCTATTAAAAGAGGAAACAAGGAAGCTGTATCCTAAATTGTAACTCTGTTCAATGTTATTTGTGGCTTTTATTGGCAAAATTTTTGTCCTTTTACTAAATAATTGTAAAAAAACATATACAAGATCATAAGTATCATTAAATCAAAATAAAAAAATGTCAAATGTCAAAATTTTTTTAAACATTTTTTCCATGTTCCTGGTATCTTATCTTACTTGAAATTTTTTTTCTGGGGCGCGAGTTCTGGCGCATTCTGTAGATTTTTGTGCATCATTTCACTGAATGTTATAAATCTTAAAACTTGTTTTTATTTATGCAAAGTATAGTAGAAAAAAAGACCAAAAACGTTATGTCCAACACTTTTAATTATGGGTAGGTATCCCTCAAAGCCACCTTGGATCCTAACGTAAGAAGCATCTTTCTCTGTCGCTCAACCTCCAAAATCCGGTCCTTAGCTTTCAATTTATTTTCGCATAATTAAATTCGTTGTGAAAAAGCACTTTTATTAAATTATTCCTCTCGTACTACAATATAGTTTCAATTATACCGAAAATTGCATTAATGTGGACCGTCCCGCCGTCGGTGATCAGAAAACGTCCAGCCGGTGGTTTTATATTACGGCAAAACACTCTCGTCTTGGTGTTATGTTATTGTATGTGTGTGAGAGATGTGCGAGGTGGGCGTGCGGACATTTAACAAAATGAAAAGCCGGCCCCGGTCAGCGGCTGCTTTGATCTCACTAATGTCTGTTTTCATCAACCAGATCCTACACCTGATTTGGATCCTATTGAACGCGAGCGGCAAATTTCGGAATTCCAAGCGGTTCACGCGCCACAAAGGTCCTTAATTAAGTCGTGGGGTTAATAAAGCTACCAAATTACTAAATTTTCACTTAAAATTACTTTGGTGATTGATTACTCTACACCCCCAGAAACTAATTTTGAAATTTTTCAATCATGGCATACAGGAGTTTCTGCTGCATTTAGCCCCATAAATAGTATAAATATACGAATAATTGGATCCGAATTTCAATGTTGGCTTTGTTCGCTCTTTTTCTGCGCACACAAAGCCAACAAAACGTTTCAAATCTAAATCCAATTCATCCAACAATGAAGACCATCTCCTGTGTCCAGTATTTAAATTTCAACAATGATCGGTAAACTTTTTGTAAATAAAACGGGGTGGTCCGCTGAAGAAGAAGCTCTTCATGGTGTTTGAGTAACCGTTCATGCACTATTGAGCAATTTTCTGTCCAATTCGTTTTTCACAATTTAATGAAAAAAACCTTTGATGGGTTTTATTAAGCGAAGAATGTTTTGCTGCCCCCGAAGCATGAACCACATGACGGGAACACCATCATGAGTGAGCGGATTCCACTTAATAAATCATCAGGTGTTATTAGGTTCGTAAATCCAACGGTGGTCATAATTTAACGTTTTTTTTCTCCTATTCTTTTATGTCATTTGTTGCATTTTTTTTAGTTACCGCATACAAAGTGTTTAAAAATTCAAGTTATTTCCTGTCTTTGTAAAAAGGTTGTAAAAATATATGTAAATTATTGTTACAGGTCAGGGTCGCGTAAATCAACTCGGAGGGGTGTTTATCAACGGACGGCCTTTACCAAATCACATCAGATTAAAAATTGTCGAAATGGCAGCCGCGGGAATAAGACCGTGTGTTATTTCGAGACAATTGAGGGTGTCGCATGGTTGTGTTTCGAAAATTTTGAATCGGTATCAGGAAACGGGGAGTATAAGACCGGGAGTGATTGGGGGATCCAAACCTAGAGTTGCAACGTTAGAAGTGGAAGCAAGGATAGAACAACTGAAAAAGGAGGAACCGCAAATATTCTCTTGGGAAATTAGAGACAGACTAATTAAGGTAACTAACTATTAAAAAACTATTTTTCTGTCAAAATAACTATATTGCGATCAAATAACACTTTTTTAGCAAAATTTGTTGTTGCAGGAGGGTATATGCGACAAGAATTCGGCCCCATCTGTAAGCTCAATTAGTCGTTTGTTGCGCGGCGGAAGAAAAGAAGATCCGGATCGAAAAAAACACTCGATCGAAGGTATTCTTGGTGAGCAAGCATAGAAAATTTTTTTTTTTCGAAAATACGTGGGAATTAATAAAAAGGAGTCAATTCACAATCGAGCCGGCAACAAAAAGATCGGACACTGTTTGTTTTCAAAATTCTTTAAATTAGTGTAAAATCAATCACTCGCCGATACACGACAAAAACAGTCATGGTTATTACCTCGGTAAGCCAGCGAGACCGTTCGAAATTACCCACAAGTAATTCGAAAATACAGCGAAATTCCAAAATTTTCAATTAACGCTTAAGATCGTTTAAATTTCCGTAAAAAGGTGTTTTTTGGTGATGATGATGATGATGGTATACCGACACCGGCGACCATGACCGGGAGCGATCGAATTGATTTATTGAATAAAATCATGGTATGATATGATGGGGCGGTCGTGTAAAAACCTCGTACCAAGTCAAGTCTAAAATTGACAGAAAATTTTATCACACGTAATTTTTTCGGACCTCACAAGATGAACCATGACGCAACACAAAAGAGCAACACAGCAACCATCCGCGTCGGCATAATGACGGTTCATTTTATTATTACCACATATTAACTTCATTGAAACCGTTGATTTTCAGTTTCGTGATTGATTCTTATTGCACGTTAATTAAATTTAACGGAGGCAGTCCCTAGCTACCAATTTTTTGGAAACTACACCGCGGGCACGGATTTCACCCGACAAGTTTCACGAACTTTCGTGACATTTATTGCTTCCACTGACACAAAAATGTAATGTAATTAACTTGAGAATATGTTATCGATAATAATCATAATGCATTAATAAAAACAATACTTAATTTTGTATGTACCATGAAGTAGAACAATAGAAATAGTTATAGAAATAGAATTAAATTTTACCATTTGCTGTTTTTGAACTTTTTTTTAGCTTTTTAAAAATGGATAACGATAAACGCAGAGTATGATAAGAAAATCGACGTTCGTGCTTAAGTTTCTGCACAAAGTCAAGATATATGGCCTTTAAAATTTACGGTCACATTATTTCAATCAACCAAAACCCGATTAACCCATTTTTTGAAACGTGATCAAAATGTAAAAAATTATAATCTCGGCTCAAAATTACAATACAATAAAAACTTGTCCAAATCTCTCACAACGCGTCAACGTCAAAGGATACCATTAAATTTTCACCTATTAATCACAGTGTCAGAGTCGAATAATTCGTCTTTGCGATGAATGCGACCTGCCAAGATTATTTCCATATTTATTACAATAATAATCCGAACAATAATGCGTATCTTTCAGTCATCACCAAGAAAGAACTTAAATAAAATTAAGATTTAAGATCCAACACCAAAGAAATGCTTTTCTCAATCTGTTATTCAATCAATGTCGTAATAAGTTCATCGTTTATGCAAAACGTACAAAAACTCTGATAATTATTTATATTATTAAATTACGAGTATATTATACTTGATGGTCGCACACCATTATTAAAATCGTTGATTTTTTCTTGCACCGCAATCACGAAGAATTGATTAGTGTTGGACCTCGAGGCTATAGCCCAGGAGTTGTGTTATTCATCTTACATCACTCGCTCCAGTTGCGTTAAAATTTCTCATTGTTTATCGGTCCAAAAGACAATCAATCACATCACCAGGAAACAAATTAAAACACAATTAATTAATTAATTAAGGTTAATTGATGGTCGCGCTACTGCGCTCCCCATCACGATGGATTTATTATAGAAGCGAAACGCTTCGAGTTGATCCCGCTTCTTATGGCCACAATAATTACATCCATCTTAATAATTGCCAAGGGAATAAGAAAGCAGCTTACCGATGCTCAGGTGCCGTTCTCTACGACTTTTTTTCAACTAATTCAACTTAAATCGTTGTTTTTTGCCCCCAAAACATTATTATAATATTAACGGGGGTTTCTACAATGAAACGGTCTATTCTATTCCAGGACCGAATTCTTCCTGTGACGAGAGCGACACCGAATCAGAACCTGGAATTCCGCTAAAAAGAAAACAGAGACGTTCCCGGACGACTTTCACCGGCGAACAACTCGAAGCTTTAGAACGAGCTTTCGGTCGTACACAATACCCCGATGTCTACACGAGAGAAGAATTGGCCCAAAAAACAAAACTCACGGAAGCAAGAGTTCAAGTTTGGTTCTCCAATCGGAGAGCGCGTCTCCGAAAACAATTGAATTCACAACAACTAAACGCTTTTAATTCGATGTCATTGCCGTCGGCGTTTCCGGTCCAGCACCAATACGGTGATGCTGCGTTTAATCAAGTACGTTGTTGTTTTTTCAAATTTTCAGTTTTTGTACGAAAAATTTTGTTTCAGAGCACTTGGGCTCAACAAAGCTACGCTTCAGCAGCGTTGAGTAGCGGTGCTCTTGCAGCTAGTACTGGTACTAGTTTAGGTGGTGCTAGTACAAGCGTAGCATCAACTACACCCAATACTCTATACAATAGCTACAATTCAGCTGCGTCTCTAGATCAAAGCAATCAATTCGGCTACAATATGGCACAAGTTTCGCCGAATCAACATAGCATCTCACCGGCAGCAGCAGCGGCGCAACAAAGTGCCGTATGGTCGAGGCACGCTCAAAACAATAAAGTCGCTGAAAATCTGAGCAGCTGGCACGAAAATTACAGGTGAGTTATGAATATTAATAATAATATCGACGCAAATTAAAACGGCACCGCCGCAGAGTGGCCATAATTCATTTTGTCGGGTGTTGTAAGGAAATCGAACGGTCGAGTGTTGCACGTATCGTATTGTTGTACGGCGAATATATTAATCATAATTTATGCACTTAGTGTCGGGTTGTCATAATAATCAATGGAAGGTTTAGCAAGACGCCGACGGAGTAAACGTCATCTGAAATGTGACGGAAAATTTACGACTTTTCGATGCATTCCGAAACATTTTTTGCGGTATTGAATAAAAAAAAAATCTGTTATTACAAGGGCAAAGTAAAAATATATTTCAAAATTTTTCTATTGCCACACCGGCAACGTCGCAACTGCGTTTTTGAGGTGAAATAAATTGATTTGATTTCTGTGTAAAAGAATGAGCTCTATTTTCAGAGTTAGAGTCGAGGAGCTTTGCTATTTCATATAGAAAAAACCTTGTAAAAAGTGATAGATTGGTAATAGTAAAGTCCCGAGATATAGTATCTGTTTACTTTTAAACGAAAATCATGTCAAAATTTTGGTGAAAAAATTGGTAGGTATAGCATTTTCCTCTATCTACACATTTTGATTGCTTTTTGTTTTGGTCCCTAGAAATTAAAAAAAATATATATATGGTTATGTTTTTATGGTAAAATGTTTGAAATTTTGATTTTGAATTTTATGTGCTTGTTTGCTCTTTGAAAGTGTTATAATTGAACATCTGAGAGCAGACTTCACTAGCTAATGTCTAAAGACCGAATTCAGTTTTAATAATATTGACAAAAAACACATTACAAATAAGCACAATGTTTTACACAAAAATGAGCTTTTTGCTTCAAAAACTTTATTAATAAAGGGTGTCTATACAGAAAAATGTTATTTTGCAAATGATACAAGTAGGTATTATTCAATAATAATTATTGGCAATAAATTTTGAGTAATTTACTAAAATGAGCTTGAAGTCGATGCTTGTTCTAAATTCTTCTTCAGCGTTAGTTTCAGCTCTTTACTTAAAAAACTAATTTAATTGCGTTTATTTGGAGTCTTGTCAATTTCTTGGTAAAAATTAGTAAATGTTTAGTAAACATACATTACAAATTGCGTCTAAATTTTAACGGTGGGACTTTTTCTGACTTTTGCTTGACACTTTTTGATTAAAAATTACCAAAAACTGTTAGCGGTACCGAATTTGTCACCGTTTTTCGTGTTTTTGTCCCTAAATTTTTGTGGACAATTTTTTTTTGCAGACGTTTAATGACATAGTTTTTTTTATTTTGTACTCAATGTTGAGAGAGCGCTTATATCAACTAATTTCAGTAGATAAAGTAGTTTTTATCGTCTAGTGAAATAAAGTAATTTCTATCTACTGTTTATATTTTATCAATTAATTTCAGTAGATAAAGTAGTTTTTTTATCTTCTAGTGAAATAAAGTAATTTTTATTTATTGTTTATATTCAAGAAATTCTGGTAGATGAATATTATACACGACGATAAAGATTGACTTCGTCACTCGTAAACTTAACCTTTTCACTCGTAGATAAAGAATTTCTTTATCGTCTTGTATAATAAATAACTATTTTTCGAGTGGTGGTAGAAGACTTTCAGTTAAGCATAAAAATGAATGCAGATTTTTGCGAGCTTTTTTTGAGAAAAAAACAGAACTGACTATTCAATTCACTTCTCTCTTTTCAAATATTAACCAATGAAATAGCAGATATTTACTTTTGCATCTTAGCCACAACAAATTCAAGCAAATATTCCACTCGTAAAAAAATATTAAAAATTATTTTTTCAAATAAATATGGACACCAGCTAACAAACAATAATTAAAATTAACAATGTAATTAACATAGGGTGTCAAACATAAAGGTTCTTTTTATTGATGTGATTAAATCTGTTCTGAATGACATTATTGACACTTTTTGTGTAAATCGGCCTTTAAATTAAAGATACATTTCTACAACCTACTTGATGCACATTAACATGAGAAAATGTATAACTGGATATTCCACGAGTAGTTGCAAAGAATATTTTAAACTAACCTAATTTTTAACGGTTGCTATGAAAATGAAATCATATGTAACGCAAATTTGACAATTGGTTTATTGAATAGTCTTCTGAATACAATTCGTAGTCAAAAATTGTAAAATATTTTTATTTATGGTCATTAAGCTTGCTGCGCACTCATGGTGTTCATAAGCGAATGACCATTCATAAAAATATTCGGCAATTTTTGATTACTCGTCGTATTATAAGTTTATAACTGATAATTTCCATATTATCATCATTTTAGCTCTTTTTCCGATGTTGTCGGATTTAATTTGCTAGTTCGTTAAATGTTTTGTACACCATAAGACACAAATTGGTGATTTTCTTCAACAAGAATCTGTTTATTGTTGCAAGGTCTGCTGATGTTTCCGCTAACTAAATTGAAGAATTCATGATCTGAACGGACAAAAGATTAATTCAAAATCTAGCCTTTGATGAGCTATTAAAATGGCTCAAACTATTTTTTGGCATGGGAATTTTAAATTAATTTTACTTTGTATTTTTGCAATGTTCAGGCGAAAAAAAACACCAACTCTGATTTCTAGATTGAGTTTTGTGGAAATCAGAAATCGTAAGCAGTAATTAATCAGTTAGGCAATTATGTGAGTTTTTCGTGCATTTTTCCATGTTGCGTGCAATTAAACAAATCAAGTCCGGTGTATATAAACATAATTCATTCAGTAGCAGTGCCTTTATGTCTTAAGTAGAGAGCGGCGCGGCCATACATTAACTAACACCGTGTAATTTAGCTTAGCACGATTCCCGTTCAATGATTGCGTACTTTGGTAGTTCCGTTCTGAAAAAATCCGAATGACAAGCAGACTTGGTGATCTGCAGCCGTCCAACATATGGATACGTACCGCCCCACGACCTGAAAAAGATCATACCCCAAGACGGCACTGATCGACTGTATAATTGGTGGGTACCGGCACGTTTGAATAATATCCCAGTAGACGCAATTAATTTATGTCGGTGCTTCACTTAATAAATACCTTAGCTTCATTTTACCGGCCTTAAATAAGGTCTCGGGTTGTTTATTAAAATGCCGTAATTAATTTCGTTTTCATGTACAACCTATCTATACCTACATACTCGTGAGTATACGTACCATTGCGCACAAATTACTCAATCAGTTAAATGTGTAGGTAGGGGACGATTTATTACCGCCACCTTTCAACTTACCATAAACAGCGAGAGATACGTAATCGAAAATTGCACCCTCACGATCGCACGATGTTATTTTCATTGTTTGTCTTTTACAGTCTCTTCGCTGGTAGCCATTATGGTGCCCATTCACCCAGCGAGGCCAAATCTGGATATCCATATTTGGGTACTATGGATATGTGTGCGAGTCGCGTGCACTGAACAGGAAGGAACACTTTTTTCTCATTTTGTCAGCTTAGACCACACTGCGCCTGGAATTACTAACATAAAGGCTTTATTATTTTAGTTTTTCTATTTATTTTCAGTGCCACCATTGTACTACTATTTTGTAATCGCTGTACATACAAGTGTAATTATTAAATCTAGTTCTAGTAAGTTCAATTAAGAAATTAGGTGTTAATTATACAATAACTACTGTTTCTGTGAATTTTAGCTAGCTGTATTCATTTATTAGAGATTAATAAATTACTTGAAATACACACTGTGTTATTTTTAATTTGATAACCATTCACCTTTGAAATAATAACCTAGAAAGGTAGACCTTTACTGGACAAAACACTATCGATAACAAATTGCACCAAAGCTGGAGAAAGGTCTAATCTGTAAGACCATAAATAATAATTTGTGGAAAATTGTATATTCTTAAACCTTGAGGCATTTATACTTTTGCATCAAAAAAAACATAAATCAAAAAGCATCACATTAGAAAATACAGTTATTGAGTAGAACATCCTAATATCGTCATATTATTTAACGCAATTAAATAGTGAAAGCAAAAACAAACAGAAATCACAAATATCGCCCATAAAAATACCCATTCCGAGAGCGTCGACAGCTGTGAAAATCCGTGATGTATATATTAAGTAAACGCATTTGAAACTCGGAGCAAAATAAGTATAATGTAAGATCGAAATAGTTTTTTTCCCATTCGTATCCTTTTATTTCTCTCCTTAATAATAGTAATACTAAGTAAGCAACGTTATAATTTGATCGATTTAAATGGTTCGGTGCAAAGTATCCATCACTCAAAACCTTTCTTTCCTGCTTAGTAAAATTAGATCGAAAAAGTGGCTACCTGTGTAATTTACTATAAAATAGCGCTCCGATGCTATAATTATACATCGATCGGAATTATCTAACCTTATTTCGAAACGATATACCTTTAAAAGCCAATATTTAACAAGTTTTTTACTCTTATTTCGATCGTACGTTATATTTTGGTGGTCCACCATTAACTAATTATATGGATTTAAAGGACTGTTATTTGATGGTCTTTGCCTAAAGGCTCTTACGAAATATAAAGCAAAAAATACGAAAATCATGCAAATAGACAAAATGTGAAAATTTTTTTAAAAATTTAGACACTACGAAACTCAAGATTATTTAGTAAAAAACGTCTTAAAACATTCCTCCTAGTCGTCACTGTCGTATAGAGACCACCTGTGCCACATTCTTTGACAATTATTTGCGCTCGCCGATTCGCCACGCACATCGGAACAATCTCCAAGAACACAGAAGTTCAAAGAGTCAGACGTTGAGCGGGGGTGGAAACGATGCAGATTATTGCTTAAATTTAAAACTATGTTTTATGGAGCGACGCGTGACTCCGAACCGATCGCCGCTTTTATTACTATACACCGCCTTTGGTCCGTTTCGCAAATCAAAAAAAAAACAACTTGAAAAAAATTACAAAATTGAGCTAAGAGAGTTCGATCGTGTCGTGGGTTCTTCGACGTTGTTTCCCTGAAACTCTAAACGACTTTGTTGGAGGATAAATGGGGCGTAAATTTTCGGAAATGTGTCCACAACACAACGGTAGCACAAACGGCCATAAAACAATTACGTTTCGGTAGCTTCCGTTTATAAAAGAGAAGGTATCATGGTGTTGTAAAAATGTCGAAAGAAATGATGAGTTTATGTCGACCAGTAAATCCTGAATTGTATGAGGGGCTTTTAAAATTATGGCGTGGCAATAAACTAATCAGGTTGCCAAATAAAGTACAAGAATGCACGGGGTAGCTTCACTTAACTTTAGAATTTAAAGTGAAGACACGGCTGTAAATCACCACAAATACCGTATAATTTAAGCAAGTAAAGACTTTCTTCGCTTTTGGCGGAAACCTGCGTGAAACATACTGAATCTTATCATGTCTTATTATTTTTCTCTGTTCTATCATAATCACAGATATAAATATTTATGAAACAATAAAACAGTAAGCAAAGAAAGAAATTAGTTATGGTCATAAGTAAATACAAACATGCTGGCATAAAACGAGCTTAAAATATAATTACTGACACAAGCTAAGACGCAAAACATTTCTATATTTTATCGCAGTTTTTTGTTGTAATTTTTTTTCCATTTTTTTCAAAATCGTGTGTGTATACAAGTTCTTGGGACAAAAACTCAAAATTTTCTTTTCCAATACTAATAAAGCATTAAAATTCTCCGATTTCAATCAATTATCAATTATCAAGATTAAATAAAATAAAAACAAGAAAATATTAGAACATGTATTTTGGCCGTTATAGTGATCAATAATAACACAGGCGGACATGATTTTTGAGGTTTAAAATGTTGTTCTCATTTTTTACTAATTTGGAGGCGCTGATCACAAACTACCACTCGTTTTATTGTATCGCATCAGGTTTTGAACAAAAATGTATACATATATAGTGGTAATTTGTACTTATTTCATTAAATTAAATAAAACCATCCAATTTCAGATCTCTTTTCGCGAGCTTTGCCACGTTTCGTGAGAAAAATGTAAATTACAACAGCAACAATAACACTCATAGGCAATTCTAGTGTATATACTAAAATAAGTCGTTGTATTTGGTTATAATGTCTGTACAATAGCTATCGCTTCACTGGTAACATCGCAACTGCGCTTTTTGAGATGGAATAGGCCAAAAACATTTAATTTCTGTCTAAAAGAAGAATCTGTGTTACAAGCCAAATTTTAAGCCAAGAAGCTCTACTCTTTCATACAAAAAAATACATTGTGAAAAGTGACAGAAGTGGCGATGTCTGTGACACGACTTTTAATATAATATACACTATGTTAATTTTAAAACTTGCAATCGGTAATTTCTCTCAAAAAAAGTTATTAATAATCACTTAAAACCGTTTTGATGATTTCTAGGGGGAATTAAAATGACATGATAAGTGACACACTTCCACCCACTCTTGAATATAATAAAAAAAAATTACGTCTTCGTTTTTAGAAAAATGGCTTTACCAAATAGGCTGTTGTATGACATTTTTGAAAAGCGCTTGTTATGGGCTTTCCAACGATGTATCGCAAGTAGGGTCGTGCCATTTAAAATTTTCAACTTAAGGTGGCTGTGGCTTGAAGGGTGGGTGGAGAAGCGTTTCTTACCATGCCATTTTGATTCCCCCTAAAAACCACCAAAACAGTTTTGAGTGATTCTCAATAACTTTTTTAGTTCTAGAGATATTGCCGATTGCAAGTTTTAAAATTGACACCCTGTATAATACTCCTATTTATATTGATTAGTTTATATTCATAAAGCGTTAACATTTGTATTCGGGTCATTAATGGACTGTATTAGTGTTTTATATTTGAATAATATTCATTTTTAAAATGTATAAAAATCAACCCAAAGACAAATTTTTGGGTCATTTTTTGGACAAACGCAAAAGATATCACTCGGAATAGGCCTAATATAAATATCTGAAATTGATATTTCCCTTGAAAATGTTTGAAAAAATATACAGGGTGCGCCAGAACTCGCGCCCCAGAGAAAAATGTCAAATGCCGGCGGCAATAGGTTGCCAAAAAGTGCAGCCGAAGAAGTAATTTTTGCTTGCATAAGAAAGTTATTCGACTCTTAAATCCACCAATCCCAGAAGGGCACCTCAAGGTGTGATTGAAAAATTATATCGGTTGCTAGGTTACGAAAATAATACCAATTTGGCCAGAATTTTAAAAAATAGCTGGTCTACTGTAATTTTGCGTTTGACATTTATCGTGATGTGGGTGACATAACTTGCTAGTTTCCGGTATTTTTCTCGCTGAAGAGGTTGTACACGAGTATAATGAGACAGAATCGTTAATTATTATCAACAATTATCAAAAATTATTTTGAAACATTCGAGAAACTCCTGATGAACCGACTTCTCTAAAACTTCTTCACAGATATTGTTCCTTCTCAACTTTTTATTCGATCTGATACAGATTAACAAACCGATAAATAAATTTTAGAGCTTGAAAACTTGTGCATTATCCTTATAAAACAAAGAAGCAAGTGAGAGTGAGATACCAGAAAAACATGAAGAAGTACGCAAGTTTCTTTATTTACTTTAATGCAAATTTAACAGAAAAATGTACTTCTGGAATTGGTGGATTTAAGAGTCTAATAACTTTCTTATGCAAGCAAAAATTACTTCTTCGGCTCCACTTTTTGGCGACCTATTGCCTCCGGCATTTGACATTTTTCTCTGGGGCGCGAGTTCTGGCGCACCCTGTATATTAACTAACTATTTAATTTAATCTTTAAAAATATATAATTAACGTGTTTTTAATTTTGTAGAAAAACTAGATGTGATATGAAGAAAGCGCGGATACTTCTAATTTTTCATAGTCTGAAATTAGAAGCGAATACTGGAATACCTACCACTAAACTACAAAAATAATTGTCATATTTGAAATCAAAATTTTTTTTATAAAAAATTCTTAATATGTGCATAAAGAGTAGAAACTAATCTTGATAGAGCGTTAAATCTCAATTTAATTTAATTTAATTTAATCCAACATATGATTAAGCCTAATTTAAATACCTAGCCGTTAGACATATTTCTCCTTCACATACACACCAAACCACCAACATTAACAGCACTGATTCCAAAGCCTAGAAGGCGGAGCTTATGCAATTTGCTTCATTATTAAAATTACCTCTAATCGAATCGATTATGTGTTTCATTAATAGATTAGACCAATTATATTAAATTACAGCCTTCTATAAATTATAATTCAATGATAAACTGTTTATCAATCAATCATTTGGAAGTTTTATATTTACAAAAAAAATGTTTTACATTTATTTGTGCACCAGACATTAAAAAAAAAGAGTAAGGCCCAATTCATCACCGACAGCTTTAGACATTTCAAATTCCCAGCTACCGTTTTCTTGCATTTCTCAAAAAACGCATACATCTTGTAAGCTGTCATCGTGCAGTTTGGAAAACTATGACAATAACAAAACTACAATACAACACAATGAAGGCAGTGCCTAGTAAAGTGGCGTTTTTGGAGTTGTAGCTTGTTGGGGGGCCACCATGGGAGGTCATGAATCTAAAAGTCTCCAAGGATGTAATACATCAACAGGTGCAATTTAAAAGATAATGAAAAACGAACACAACGAAAAGACAAATCTGGGTCAACGGCAACAAAATTCTGAGAAATTTTGGTTCAGATAATCTAAGCAAAATCCAATT